TTATTTTTCACTTTTTAAAGTTTTCCACCATGCATTGCAACTAAACTTTGACATCTTGTAGATCCAGCTTTGTAAAACAATCATGAAACGACCCCGAGAACCTCATGTATATTTTAGAAACATTACACGTGCTTTCTCCCGTTCATCTTCAAATGAAGAGTATTTCGGCAATGGCTACGGAAAATAAACAACAGAGATTTGCCATAGAGAAATCAAAATTTGCTTTCACAAGAAAAGTATACACTTAAGAGTAAAATCCTGAAATATCTCGAGGGTGACTTTTTTTTAGTTTACAAAAAAGTTTTATTTTTTATTTAACGTCATTTTGTTAATTCATACCAGGCAAAAAGTCATTTCCATTTTTAATGGGACAGACTATAGTGTAATATTGTCTAGTGTAATATCGTTTTTATTAAATAGAGAAAATTTGTTTAGTTCAGTGTAAGATCGGAATATATTTCACCGAGTGAGTACCAAAAGGTATACTTCACGAGTGGCGCAGCCACGATTGAAATATAAACTTTTTTTGGTGTTCACAAGGTGAAATATATTTCGATCTTACACTAAACTAAACAAATTTTCTTATTATTATATGCAAAGAAACGTTTTAAAAAGACATTAAACCTAATACTGAATGAAAAGCGCGCCAGATAATAATACAACGTGACGTCATTTACGACGTCACGTCATTAAGTTGGTACCCAGTACTTTGCACGCTTGTATTTTACTGAAACAACGTAAGGGGCTTAAATTCAAAACAGTGAAATTAATATCAAAGTGGTAATTTCACTGTTTCAGACAGTGAAATTACCAGTTTTATGTCACTGATATATTTCTATAAACCACCGAAAAGCATGTAATAAATGGCTTTATTACACTCCTGCGTCGCGGTTTATGTGATAAAACTATATAAACGTCACGATTATCCAATTAAAAGAGACGTTACAAACGTGCAGTATTATAAGTTTTATATACACGTCTTCTGTCGATTCATGATGAAATCTTACTTTTTTCTCTGAAAAGCGATGCTTGCTGTATTATAAATTCGTTATAAAGATTGTTGACAGGTTATATGGCCGTATATTAACGGCTGTTTGCAATATGACCCTCGCCTAGCGGATCGGATTATATTTACAAATACCCGTTTATATAGGGCCATATAACTTGTCAACAATCTTTATAACTAATAATATAAACGTCACGATTATCCAATGAAAAGCGACGTTGCAAACGTGCAGTATTATAAAATAGTATAAAGTCAAAAGTTACAATTATAAAAGAAAGTTCGCACAATTAGTTCACTAATGAATTTTAAATCTCCAAACTGCTGGGATATGTTTTCACATTATGTTATTGTTTCGAATGTTTATAAAAAATGTGAAACTAAATGCACTGTTAACTGTGAATGACGGTTTTCTTATGAATCCAAATGGATGTTGAGATATTCTTGTATCATGAATAATAATAATTCATCAACGTTTGTTACTTTTTGTTCAGTTTGGTCATTTAATGTTTTTCTTGTTTTTATTTGTTTGTGGGTGTGGGAGTCCTATTTTATCATTATTGTTTTTATTTTATTATTATTATTATTAATATTATTATTATTATTATTATTATTATTAATAATAATAATATTATTATTATTTTTACTATATTATTATTATTATTATAACTATTATTATTATTATTATTTTTTAATTAAAATTATTATTATTATTTAATATTATTATTAATTTTATTATTATTATTATTATTACTATTACTATTATTATTATTATTATTACTATTACTATTATTATTATTATTATTATTATTATTATTATTATTATTATTATTATTATTATTATTATTATTATTATCATTATTATAACTATTATTATTATTATTATTATTACTGTTATATTTGTTTGAGGCCCCAACTGGGTATCCCCGTTTATTCACCCCGTATAGGTATGAAAGGGTCGGGGTCATCCCCCTCATACCTTACATTATGTATACATGTATATCACATTGTAATATTTACAAACAAAATTAGAGAATGTATACAAATAGTCTACTTTACACATGTATGTAAGTTATTTAAAAAACAAAACGAAAGAGAACCTCACATAAATATAGAATGGCAGTGTAATTTATTCAAGTAATAATCTTACAATTTGCCATCTTTTAATTTCAGTGTCAGTCAAATTGGTATTTATGTAAATAGTCAAAGCTAATTTATGGCCATTTTTAAGGTAACATTTTTTTTTCTCTTAGAAAATATATGTATTTTTTCAATTCTAAATACAATATATCAAATTCGAATTCCTTATCTTCAGAACCTCAAATAAAAGATTTACAGTTGAAAATACATGTATTGTCAAAATTATGATAATGTATGTTACTTTGAAAATATATAAATAGAGACTGAATTTTTTGACATTCCCAAAATAAATGTATAACTGTTTCTTCTTGACAGTTACAGAAAGTACACATTTTATTATCAAAAATTTTCATTTTAAACAGAAGGGAGTTTGTTGTTTAAGTTCTGTGAATTATTCTAGTCTGAAACCACTGAATGTATGAATCTCTGGTACATTTAAATGCATAACTATATATCAATGACCGGTTTATATTATCATCTAAGAAGTATGTGTTCCATTTTTCCTTACTTGTTGGTACATCTGTATTTCTAAAAAAGTTTCATAAAGGTATTTCTTAGTGCTATTTGTAATATTAATAGGTCTGATATAACAGCTTACAATAGGATATTAAACATTTAGCAAATCAGTATTATATTAATGGTAATATTTAGCTTTAGCGTGCATGGTTTCATAGCCTGTTTTAAACCATGATATTCTAAAAAATTAACTTGTTTGCCTATATACTCTTCTAAAAGATTTTAATTCAATAAAATCACCTTCTTCATTAAGAATATGTTTCACAAATCGGATTCCTTTGTCATAAAAAGATTTAATGTAGATATATAAAACATCAATCTATAAAGCATTTTTAATGTTATTAATATACAAAACATTTTTCCAGAATTAAAAACTATATCAATATTAAACAATGAGTTCACGAACTGAACAGACTTATAACATTTACTACCATAATTAGAAAAATATCTTTTAAACCATTTTATTTTTAAAGAATTAAAGAATACCTACCATGTTAAGACAACCTTCGTTGTATGTTTTAAGGATAACAGATTGTTTTATTTTTGCCTTTCCTTCCCATATAAAATCATAAAATAAGTCATTAAGTGTCTTCAAAAAAGCAGTTTTAGGTGTAGGTAGGCTTGTGAAACAATGAGTAAATAAAGGAAGCAATATTGACTTAACAAAATTAACAGTGATTTTTTTCTAGTGGAGTTAATACCCTTTTTTCCATTGACTAATACTACTAAGTATTTTTTACTTTCTGCAGCTTTTCATCAATATTTAGATCAATCATTTTTCATTATTATTATTATTATTATTATCATCATCATCATCATCATCATCATCATCATCATCATCATCATCATTATTATTAATGTTCTTTTATTTTCATTTATGGTCGGTGAATTTGATGAATTTCATCAACCTAAAATCAAATAAAAATGTGTCGAACTTTGAATAAGCTTCAAAGAGATCCATGAAACGTTACATTATATTACATTACATGAAACGTACATTTTGCCATATGATGTTAAGTAAACTTAGTCAATAATACGTACCAGTGCACCGCAAGTCATGATTAAATATTTAACTCACTGTCCGTGATATTATATGGACATGGGAAACATTAAAAATACTTTTTGGTAATTAATTCTAGATAAAAACACTAGACTTAGTCATAAATCATTTCACGCATGATTATCTATATATTGTTTGTCGTTTTTCTTATAACATTCATGTGGATGTATGTATTTGGTTGTAAATATGTTATTTCTATTATTTATCGATTCGATAAATCAGTTAATATGTATCAACATAACATATACATATATCGCATGTAATGTAAGTATATTGTTTGTATGCATCAGTTATTATTATACAAGAACATTTGGATGTAGGAATTTTTCAATTTTTAATGTACTCTATGGATATTTCAGACTTTATTCAGACTCTAGTGTTGCCCAGGTGCGTATGACAATAAGACAATCACTAATGTACCAGACTCTTCAGCTATTTATCATATATGTAGGAAGTGATAGTTCTTGTTTGATAGCAATATACACATTCTACCTATATCGTAAGTGAACAAAATGATGTGAAAGAAACAAAATGCTTGAACCGTTTACAAAGTCTTTATACGCCGCCGGAGAGCATTGACTTTTAAAATATGGTATCTTAACCGTCATAAAATGACCCCTCACACAGAAACCGATGTATTCAAATACGGTGTCCCGTTAGGGTTATCGCGACACACACATAACTCGAAACAACGAAAACACGAAAATACGATAGTAAAAAGTCGAAATAACGAAACCACGATGAAGAAAAGTTCTTTCGACTTTTCATCATCGTATATTCGACTTGTCATCATCATGATTTCATTATTTCGATTTTTCACCATAGAACTTTCGAATTTTTACCATCGTATTTTCGTGTTTTCTTTGATTTGAGTTATGTTTGTCGTCATGGTTCTAACGGGACACCTGGTTGAGAGTATTTTTCTTATTTCTATTTCAAACTTCGTTTCTTGTTATTATTATCATTATTATTAATTACATTTTTATATGACAAAAAAAACAAAACAACAAAAACAGTTAATTTAGTAATCGGGGACAATGAACTGCAAACAAGTTGTGTTTTTTTACTTAATTTATTGTTGTTTTTTGTCTGTTTTGCTTTTTTTTTACTTTTTTCTTTCTGTTCAAACAGTGATCGTGAAAAGTCCGCTTAACAAAATTATGTTTGCACTGAAACCACATCATATTATGTGTAATATTTGCCCGGCGGTGAGTCGTTTAATAAACCAAATCATACAAGAACATTGCGCATAAATAAAAATCTTCATATTGAAGGCACCTTTAAAAATCACATAGCACGTGACTACAAGGCCTGGTACATGAAATCCGGCGAAAGAAAAAGAAAAAAGAAATGAAATTATGAAGTGCGCTTCATCATCGCACGTTGTTTATTAAAATCGCTCGAAGATGACTTATCAATCTATGTAAGATGGGCTTTATTAATTCATAAATTCACGGAAATAAGAAATGTTGAACGGAAGTTTTTCACGTAAAGCATAAGTGCAAGGTATCGATTTAGATTTGTTTGCATTTTTTTTTTGATAACCTAAAGGTGTTTTAGGATTTGTGAAATATTATCGCTCAGGAAATAATTTTATCAAACAAAGATACAAACAAACAAGCGGACTTACCAATCTTAGGAAATACAAAACACTTTTTTTTCTGACATTTTTGTTTAAATGAAATGTTTGTAATTTCAGGAGAATGGGTCTGCAGCATCAAGTTATTTACTTGCTTATGCTATGCATACATTGTGGTTTGACTCAAAATGTCACTGACCCTCCGACAAGTCAAGCCATTTCGAAGTCTGACACATTGCTGTCCGGATTCTACAACACTTCCGGTAACTCCTCCTCATCAAACGACACATCCAACGAAGCATATTCAGGATTGTCGTCCGGAAATTCAATTACCCTGCATGATTTCAGCGTTTCTCGTGTGAATGAAACAACATCAAAAGAAAATTCCTCAACTATACAACAAGATTTGCAAATGCTATCAGATGTTTTCACTTCAGAGTTTAATTCAACAGAAGACATGCAAAAAGATATGGTTAATGAAAAATTGAATGTAAATAGTTCTTTAGGGGAAACAAATTACATAAATATGAGCACGGCAATAAAAATGAATTCAATTCCAAATGCGGTAAATATAATACATGAGAATGTTTCTCAAATGCAAATAACTACAAGTGCTTTTAATGACGTCAATAGTTCTTGGGAGGAGGATCGAGGCACAGATATGTTTTTACAGGCTCCAAACAACGAAGTGAAAGAAACGAGTATACCGAATAACATAAGTGTCTTCACTAGTAATGAAACAGTTTTCGATGTTCCATCAGTTCCTTTTGTCACGTATAATGAGTCAGCTGCCGAGAGACTGATACCGACCCCAGACAACAGTGTACAAAAACAACAGGATATTTCAAACATAACAGAGAACAGAAACGCACCAGTTGACATAAACATTACCGTTGCAAACTCTACATCTGATAACAACTACGAACTTCCTGAAATAAAATGGAGACCCGGGATGAGACAACCGCAAACAATTTCGGATTTGATAAGAGTGGCAGGTGCTGATATAAGATTTATTGCAACTCAATTCGGAAGTAATTTTTCTGTAAACGGTACAGAAGCGCATCCATTAAACGCAAACGATACTAAAACAATACCAGAACAAGTAAAAATTATCGGAAGTATAAATGATGCTATAACGAAATTACAGGACAGACATGGTTTGGAATTAGGTCATGAATCATCATCACCCATGCACAATGATGGGTTTATAAATGACAACAACTTTGAAACACCGCAATTATCCAATGTCAAAGTTAGTGGACCCATTGTCCTGCCATCAAGGCAGATTTCCATTGACGGTGATTCATCGAATAGTGATACAAACAACTTACGTACAATGAAGTCAGATGGCGCACCTTCTAAACTAACCCAAGTAGCAGATGGTTTTATGGCAACAAACACTTTAGACAACATTATTCCAAATGTAGTGGTCAGAAACTCGGATGATGCCGACTCTTCGCGCATTAGCTATGTACCAATCATTGAAAGTCGTACAGCAAATTTCCCGGATTTGTCAACCGACGAATTTGGACAAAATAGCGACATATCGGGGCCCAGTGGTGGAAATGGTTGGATAAATCCAACAGGTCAGTCTGAAACAGACTCTCGACGCCTTATCTCATTTGGAAACAACCCTGAGTATGTAATTGGTACTGGAAATTCGGTGCAAATACCACAGTCTTTAATTATTAACCACATCCCAAACGGAGACACATTAGAAAGAGAGGGAAATAGACGGAATGGCAATGCTTTGTTTCTGAGAATAAATCGTGGATCAACAGAAAGGAGATGAGACCCGGGAAACCGTCGTCAATAAATAAAAACCAGTATTTTTTAACGATCAAGCAGATTTAAAAAATCTAAAATACAGCAGATTCCGGGAATTTTAGAAATGAGGAAGAGACGTGTTGTTTACCCGGGGAAGTTCTCAGGAAAACCAGGGGAGGTCGGGCTTGTCCATGTTCACGGTTCTATGGATTTAGCCAAAACGGATGATTTTGTTTATCGACTAAAGGGCTGTGTTTGTGGCTGGTGCTGGTCGAAATTTTAAAAGTGCACCAGTAAAAATGGAAATATGGAATACTCTCCTGCATTTAAAAAAATGATTCCCCCGACAAAACCCGGCAAAACTTTGGTACCGTCCAACGTAATGTCGGTCTTGTAGAATTTCCAAGAAGGCGAAATTTCGATGAAAGTATTGGCGGGACAAATGTAATGCCTTCAAGAAGTAGCATCATGGCAAGAAATACTGATGTAGTAAGTGGATTTATTCGACCTCGGATGTTTGCTGATTCAGCAATTCCGCGTACAAATAGTTTTGAAAGAGGATCTTTTGTTAGAGATGGTAGTGCTATCGCTTTCGGGAATGATATGCTCGGATCTAGACCTGAAATAATGCCACCATTCACCGACTTTAGTGGATTTGGGATACCAATATATCCACTCGGGAGCAGAACTTTTAGTGCCCCGATATTCCCATCAGGCACTTTTTCAAGAACCATGTTTATGCCTGCAGAAATATTTCCCCCTTTTCCGCCTCGAACTCCATTCCCATTCCTTTAGTTGCACTTTTTAAAGCGAAATGATGAGAGTCTATAAAAAGCCTAGAAATCATTTATTTCGGATATTATCTTGAATTTATTCTTGATGTATATTTCAAGTTCTAATAGCGACGTAACCATCATGGCGGCAAATGGTGTGTCTTGTAGCATGAACGTCGTGGTTCGTAAATTGGATGAATCAATTGTGTTACGTGCAAGATTTAATTATCGGACAATTTAACGTTTATATAAATGTACTTTCATTATATGTATATTCATTAGGATTTAACGATGCTTTTCCGATTTGTTTTTGTTCTTTTTGGTTTTCAATTTCTATATAGTTTAATACAAATATTTTGAGATATTAAACTTTAGATCATGGAATGGATTAGAACTTCAAAGTATGTAAACAAAGAAGGTGACACTTGTGAATGAGTTATATTACTTCTTCTTTCGATCGCTCATTAACATTTAAATTAACAAATTAGTAAACGTGTCAAAGTTGTGCCCCGTTTCGATTAGAATTTCTATTTTTGTAACATGACTACATCAATACTTTAGTCTGTTTTATTTGTTTGATCCTGCGAAAGCTTGGAGTGTTTTTGTTGTGTTTTTATAAATATTTTCGTGTCCGTATTCTGGTGCTTACCAGCACAATGATATGGAACTGAGGAAGTTGGTGCTACAGCCAAAGTCAGTGTAATATCATTTAAATCGTCAAAGCCTCGCATAATATCATTTAATTTAACTCGTTCAATAAATAAGTATTTAACCTACACTTATTCAATATCCTCAATATATATGAAGGTTAATCATATGCTATTCGTCGTCGTTATTAGAATAGAGTGATGGGTTATTAGGAGAAAATGTACGAGTTTTAATGTGTTTAGAAATGACGAAAAATTAAAATATTTCTCATATAACACAGGGTTTACAACAATGCACATCATCTGTTATTGTATATGTTATATAAAACGTTAACTTTGAAAACATATGCCGACTTTTCTATGATAATAAATTTATTCATGGAAGTGTTTGTTACTTTTTAATCACCCGAATCCTTTTTCATCTGAAATTCATAAACATAAAAAATGATTTCGTTTCGTAATAAAGTAACAGACATATACTGACATTTAATTTACAATCTGATAAAAATCAGTTCCAAATTAACGCTTCGCATTAGTATCTGAAGGACATCAAAAAGAGGTCGCCCGTTATCAATAAACAGGTAAACTGGCCATTAAAATGTTAGTCATTTTTTAACAAAATGAAACTTTTTTTTTCTAACAAAAATGACAATTTGTTTTGCTTCCACTTATGCAATTTCCGGGG